AACTATATCATTTGGCTTTATTTATTTATTTGAAGTTTGCTCACTGTTTCGAGCTATCAGAACAAGCACGAGAGGAAACAATTGATGAATGAAGGCACATAGTCCATGAAAAATTCTAGAGTCCTTCTTTCAGAGTATTTAGATTTTAGAGTACCGTTCCATTTATTACACTGTCAAATATCGAGTAACACAAAAACAAAGGCGTACCCGTGAACTGAGCATTGTTTATGCTCTGTAAAGGTACAATCGAAGACACAGGGAACCTATACAATATAACATACAATAGAATCAATAAAAATCGATGCGTATCCTCGCATCTATGTGTACCAGTGAGATCAGGCACGCCCCGAGGCCGAAACCCTCCGGTGGGGTAACCCGAATTTCAAACTGTTCTTCGTAGGAAAGCAACTTCACTGAGTCAGTGCTGCTATTTCGACCCCAACTCAAGGAGAGCTGAATCCTTCACAAAATTTGTGGGTACCCGACAGGGAGCCTACCGCGTGGAGAGGAATTCGAGAAGAGCATCTGTGAATCGATGCAGGAACGACGAAAAGTCTCGTTCCGTGGTTTCTCTCGTTAAGGATGGAAGCCCTACCTCGGAGGTGGTAATACGTGTGTCATAAGATCGGTGTCGGGTTGAATCCAACGACTTGCAAGCGAATGCTGGGGTACGCGAGTGCACCAGCGAATCGAAATGTACAAGTGGATCTAACTATGTACCAGCGATCGAACGATGCACCAGCAACTCGGCAGTGTTTAGAAATGGCCGGAATCCCTCTCATTCGCACGATGACTCTCGCCTCTTTTTCATAGGAGACGGGCAGTTTTCCTGGTACGTCAGGTCACAGACCTGTGCGAGGATTGAGGCCTAAGGCGGTGCCTGAGATTACAATTTTACAATTTTACAATCTTCGTGGAGACTTGTGCCTACACGCATTGGCTGGAGCGCTTGCTTAAGCGTATGGTTGGGCTCAGGTTTAGTTTCGGCCTGCTATTAGCAAATGAGTGGTGTCCTAATCTTAAGTGACCTGACCTGCCCAAGGAAGAACTGAAGCACACCTCTTTGCCCATCCTCGTGTGTATGAGAGAGCGAGAGGGCATGAAAGCCCAGGAAATGGCGAGAGTCAACGTGCATGTCGGAGTCGAACGGTCCCACCACTTTCAATTACTGGCGAAGGCGCTGTACAGTGGGGGGGTGGGGGGGGCCGTTGTTGTAGCGCCAGTATTACATTGGCTGCGTAAGATCGCTCGTACAACGCTCGAAGCCTACAATTCGCTAGCAAATCGCTGTATTCGCAAAGTCTGAACACCGGCCTAAGGAGCCGAAAGGCAAATGGTTCAAATTTTTTTCCGCCGATTGAAGGTAAAGGGGCTGAAGGGTGCAATGGTGAAGAAGAAACCAACCACATACAGTCGATATCCGAAAGTTGGGGTGGGTGTGTCACCGGAAGTGACGTGCACTTGATAGAAGTGCGTGGATAAGCTGTTGCCAGCATGCTTTGCTGATAGCCAGCGATGTATGTTGGAAGCAGCTTATCCACATAGTTTCTATCAAGTGCACGTCACTTCCGGTGACACGCCCACCCCAACTCACCGATATCGAGTATATAAGAGGAACGGCCTTGAACCTGCAGTGCGGGATCCTTGTTTTCCTGTCCATTTCCGCTTTGGGTGAGCCGCATGTATGTAAAAAGCGTAAGACCTCTAATCTGTCACTTATCCCATACGACAACGAGAGTGGACAGAAGGGAAGAGGCGTTGAGAAGGATGGGCAAGGCCTCCCT